AGAAGAAGAAGAAGAAGAAGAAGAAGAAGAAGAAGAAGAAGAAGAAGAAGAAGAAGAAGAAGAAGAAGAAGAAGAAGAAGAAGACTCGCCTATTATACTTTTAGTGTAGTTGGATACAATGGCAAACGATTGGTCCATTAGAGATGAGTGGACCATCCATACATCCAACGGTTGCATATTAATAATGGAATCCATATTATTAGGCTTGGGGACAAAGTATGTAAGACTATCAAATGAATAAAACATGAATGAATGAATGAATGAATGAGTGAATGAATGAATGAGTGAATGAATGAATGAACGAACGAATGAATGAACGAACGAATGAATGAATGAACATAAAATAAAGCATTGAATGAAGCGAACTAGTGAATGGGAGAATGACTTAATGGTGAGTGAATGAATGAGCGAATGAGATGAAGTGAATGCATAAATAAATGAATGGGTTGATGATAAAGGTAAATAAACCAATCAATCAATCAATCAATCAATCAATCAACCAATCAATCAATGAGATGATTAAATATAATATAAATTTAATTTAATCATTAATTAATCAAATGAACCACAAAATGATAAAAACATAGACCAAAAAATGTTTTATTTTTCCTTCATTTTCATTGTCACCTGATCTAAGAATAGTGAAAAACAACGAACTGATCTTTGAATCATCGTGGCGATTTCTGAATACTTCGTACTCAGTGGCAACCTATCGAACTCCATTTGATATTCATCCCTATCTGTCATTTTTGGATAGTTTATTTTTTTATTAACTTTTTATTTCAATATAAATCAGATTAAAAGTTTGTTTCAAAATTTTAAATTAACAAAAACAAACAAATATCACATGCTAATAAAATATTTATATAAGAAATCATAAATTTAAAAAATACATTGGGATAAAAATTCATCTTTCAAAAAAGTGAATGGTCTTGATACAACAAAGCTAGGAATTGATATTTTAAAAAAATTTCACTTTTAAATTTAAAGAGTAACAAATTCGCCAGCTTCACTAATTTTTTATTCACTTTCATTTAAATTTTTCATGAAAAAATGTGAACAAATACAATTTTATTTTTAATACAACGAATATTTCACTAACCATCAACTTCGTTGCCCTCCTCATTATTTAAAAGCCTCAACTGACTGGCCGACATTAGCGAATTTTTCTGCTAGGAACTATTAGGTAGTTGTTTTACGGGAAAAAAAATACTAAAAAAACAAAAGATTTAGTTTCGTTTTTTTAATTTGGAGTTTTTTACAGTTTAGTTTGATTAGAAGCCAAATCAGTTCAAAACAGAAATTAGGCAAAAAATGTCAGTATTTCAATTATGATACAATCAGCTGCGATTACTATTAATTAGAGTAATGAAATTTAATTAGTTCAAAACTAAACCACTAATTTAATCGTTGTTTTGAGAGAAAAACGCGACAAACGATCATCGTCCTGATAAACAAATGGGCTATAATAAATGTATTCATATGTTTGTATGTATGTATGTACATTATATACACGTGTATATAATGTACGTACATACATACAAACATACAACATATACAAGATGTAATGTACAAAATATAATGTACATACATACATTACAAACATACAACATATACATAAAAATTATTTTCATAATGTTCGCTGCATTGTATGCAATATGTATGCACAATTACAATGTAAATTCATAAAACTTTCCACTGTTTCTATACACAAATATGTACTATTTAAACCATGGATATCCATGATTTAAACATGTGTGTGTGTGTGTGCGTGTGCGATATAGACGTAGGTACATACATAAACAGACTTTACCAACGTGTAACTATGTGTTATATATTTATATACTTACGCACATACTGGTGTGGTGTAGTGTATATGCAAACATAACCATATAATGCATATATTGTATGAACAAACAAACAAACTCTCTTGGTCGTTGACTGACACTAAATTAAAAATAACAGAAAAAGAATGAACGTGGTTATTCGATATACACCTGGCGAATATTTGTAAACTATTGATTAAATATTAAGCTGCTTTACTTGATGAAACGTTTAATAATTTATTTGATTTGATTATTTTAAAATAATTAAGAATTTCGTCCCACTCAAACTATTTATAGCGTTAATAGCCTTATTGACAGCTTTGCAGGTGGTTTTAACGGGGCGTTAATTTGAAATAATGTTTTGAGGTCCAATTTAAACGTGAATAATATAAAGCAGAGTATTTTTATTTTAGATGTGTTCAATAAACTCATCGTTACTAGCGGCCGTGTGCTAACAAAAACGTCTAAATTGCTGACCGTACAAGCAAAATGGTCAGTTCACCCACCACAAAATTATTTTACTAGCCTATTTTAAGACATTTGGCATGAATGAGAATGCAGCGAATTGAAATACAACATGTCTGTAAATCTCTTTTATTTCAAATAAGTTCATATCTATTTTTAAACTTAATATTTTATTTTGCTATATTTATATATGTGTACTGTACAAATATGCGTGCGTGTGCATACATGGGATACGTAGTTTTTTTTATGTTGGCTTCTTTGCATTTGATTCATTCAATCGTAGTTGAGTTAGGTGACCGGCTTGCTCCAATTCTAACGGATGAAATAACATCACTATCCTGCAGTGTTCAGTGAGAAATTTGAAAATATATGAGAATATTTTAAAATATTTAATGTTTGGCAGAGTTAAATAAACGTTAAATTGAAATGTTCAAATTTGAAATTTTAATTTGGATGATTTAATTCATAAGTGATTCACAATAATAAATAAAACATCTGATTCACAAGACACAGCTTAGAGGCACATATCCTATATCAGTGGTAGCATGTTTATCTATTAGATATGCATGTCTCTGAGCAAGACGGTGTGAATGTAATTTAAAATTAATATGTATGTAACGTAGAATGATTTTGTTAGAAAATTTTCTTGCCTGTCTTCTGGCAGTCCAAGTTTTTCACTAAAAAACTTGAAAAATTTCGGTGTGTAGATATCATTGTTTTCCTTATTGAAAACCCCGATAGACCAGATATCGACAGACGCTAGCGGTGAAGATGAACCATTCTTCCACATTTGCTTGTCAGTTTTCAATGAGACTGTTATGAACTGAGGAAAAATGAGAGATTAATTACCTACTTTAAATTTTTTCTAAATAATTGTGAGGAAAACATTATAACTTCCATATAGATTTAGTGAAAAATAATAAATTCTTTAAGTGCTAGGGGCGAGGGAGAACTTTGAGATCTGAAATCCTTTACAAGAAAAGATTTTTTAAGATTTTGCAAGAAATATTGTTTGACACAACGACTTACTATAAAAAGCGTGGTTGTTGGAACCGAAAAAGTTTTTGAAAAAAACCGCATTGAAAAAAAACTATCATCAATTATCATTAGAAACTACTCACTATTAAGAATTTAAACAATGACTGTCATTATAAAAAAGTGATAGAAAATAGTAAAAATGCTTTTCACATTTGTACGAGTCTGAATTTTCAAGAATAATAATACAGAACAAGACAAATTAACAAACATTTTCTGGTTTCGAGAGCACGTTTGCGATTAATTTCGTAACATCTTTGCCAAAAGACTCGGGGATTTTATCCTTTGTTAGATTGGTGTTGATTACACAAACAGGTTTGTACCTGAGCTGATTCCTCAAAACATTTCTTGATTTTAAAATAAAATTACCGAATCTTAGATAAGCTGGCTGTTTCATGCCTGAATTAATCACTACCCTATTGTTCAAAATCAACAAATTATATTATTAAAATAAGAGTTTAATCTGTATTTGCTGAAAAAACAACCATATAACGTATTATTTCAGATCAACTTTCGTTAATTTACGTAATTAATGTCACATATATTGTTTGTTTTTAAAGAAATATTTTGTGAAACGTTATGTTATGTGTGTATGTTGACTGTAACAATACAAGCATGCGAATGGGACATGTTGTATATGGTATGTTATTTTCGACCTTTAGCACTAATGCATATTTATAAAAGCTATAGTCTTAAAGGGAGCAGACGTAATTAAACAAATGCGCTTTATTTGTATTTTGTTTTGTAACAATCTTATCAAGTAATTTTTAGCCATCCAGTTTTAACCAAGGCATTCATAAAATTATTTCCTTGGTTTTGGCAATTAATTTGCGGTACATTGTGACATTATTCAGCAATCTCATTCAAGGCAAGATTAATGGAGAGAAAATATGGACCCATTAATTTTTAAAATTAAATTTATGTAATTTGTATAATTGAAAAGGAATAATTATAGTTTTAGCAAAACTACAACAAATGAAGATTTAGTTGATATTTAACACTGATATACATAGTCGTTTGTTTAAGTAATAATTTATTTAAAAAGGTGAGGACCCGAATTTGATACTTTGTTCAGAGTCCGCTCAAACTCTATTTAGACTGATTGCACCATTTATATTGTCATCATCGTGGTTGTGTTATTTATTTTCAGATCGATTTGTCAGAAAAAAATGATTTTCATAGTTTAAATTCTTATTTATTGATTTTTAAATATAAATGGCCTATAAATAATATTATCATATTATATGTATATATAGTATAGAAATCTAATGAGTTTACGCTAAAATCATCAAGTTAATTTTCATTATTAACAATAATATAATAATTAATATAAAATAAAATAATAATATAATGAACCTAAGAAACTATAATAGGAAAAATAAAATGAAAAATAATAACAAGTTATAATAACGAAACATAAAATTAACAATTCTTACAACAAATTCATCTACAATTTAATATAAAAACAAGTTAAGCATAAAATTTAACAATAAATTTCAACGAAAATATAAAGCGGTACTTTTAAAACATTTAAATTAAAAAAGAAATGGCAAATTTTTCATTTAAAATGACAGGGGCCACAAAACCATTACAACATCAATTATTGATGATCAACACAACCAGGCAGATTAATGCGATGTGACTTTTGAGATCTTGCTGAGGTGGTCCAAAAATTGTTATATTGCCAAAAAAATGTTTTGTTAAAAGTCTAAAATTCCACAATCATTCAGTGAACATTTGCTATGGGTCGGAAAATTACTCAACTATATTCAGTTTAGGACCAGAAGTTTCCCTATTTAGAAAATTTGTCGTTAGATGGCACTTTCAACAGAGCAGGCGTGCTAGTAATGGGCAATGCTTTGACCGGTCCTTTATATAATTCGTACTTATCCAACCTCCTCAGTGGCCTCCTACCATCGCTTTTGTACGTGTGCTTATTGATTTGCTGGTTGAAATTAATTATACTGTCCTGTGCCGGGCCTGGGGGGTCAGAAGTTTCCTTACACTGATGATGGTTTAAGATTGGTTTTAATGCGAAATTTGCTAAATTGTTGTTAACTTTGTTCGAATCTTTGTCTTTCTCGGCGGCACTCATGTAATTGTTGAAGAGACTTCGGTCGCATAAATTTTCCTTGCAAATGTCCGTGATGCGCGATGATAGGATGGACGAATGCTTCTCGTATGTGTTGCCTAATGAATTTAATCTCTGCTTTCTTTTATTCCCGCCTATGTACGTCATTTCTTGTGCAGTCGGTGATACAATGCGGCTGCAGTTGCTTGGCACGAGTGTCATGTCGTTGCTAGACTTTTCGTTGTTGTTAATTTTATTGATGTTGTTGTAATTTTTGTTGCAATGGTACGAAGGCACGTTAGTTTTCTCATCAGCTGCCGAGTATATCTGCATCAGTTTTTCTGCTCTGGAAATTAATTGAGAAGATCTAATGGGAAGTTTATGCGCGAATGTGCGTGCGCAACACTTAACGTTGCTTCATTTACTTGCAACAACTTTCATAGATAATCAATAATATTCTAACAGAATAACAGTTTGATAATATTTCAACGAGAACAATAATTAAATTTGAATATAAAACACAATATATGCTTTTTTAATCAAACTGCAAAAAATTACCTCGACATGCGGTCTTGGACTAATTTTTCAACTACAGCTATATTCTTTTCTCTGCCTAAAATTAGGAAAAATTGTTTAAAAACGAAAAAAGCGAAAAAAAGATTCAGAATTACTTTCAATGTCGGTCAGCCTTTTTTCAATCTCCTTTTCCTTCACTTCGATATCTTTTTCTCGTTTTTTCAGTTCTAATTTTTTCACCAGGAGATCATTTTTCAACTGTGCAATCTCCTCTCTCATGTTATCCAACTCGTTTTGCTGCTGCTGATGTTGTTGCATCTTGTTGTTTTCGTTGGATGCATGATAGTTCAGGAGGGCAGAGTTCTGCAGGAGAACCTCTATGCTCGGCCGCTTCTCAACCTCAAAAGTTGTGCAGTCAATTTTCAAAGTTATTTCCATTTCATTTTTAATAAAAACGATGTGACCTATCTAAAGTATTTTGAAAAATAAACTAGTTTTTTTTACTTTATAACGGAAAATTACGACTAAAAAGACAAAACGTTATGAAAATACGGCCCAAAAATAAAATGAACTGTGAGCTGATAAGAAAACAAACATGATAAAATAAATTAGCTACCACCACTGACATCGACATCAAGAAGACTGCAGATAAGAGAATAGAGCTTGATTGAATAATTTTTGGAAATCCTATCAAACTTGCCCATGCAAATTTTGGCAGCTAACTCAATTTGGTTGTTGGCAACGAACGGAGGCCTGAGAGAGCACAGTTCGTACAACAAACACCCCAGGGCCCACATATCTGATTTCTCATTGTATTCCATTCCTGACATTTGCTCCTGATTTTATATAAACTTTATTTCATAAAATTTCTAAGAAAAAATAACTAATTTTTTGGGTACTTAATTGAAACATCGAATTTAAACATATTTTCTCGACAATTTTAAACAGTTCATTGATTTATTTAACAATAAGACTGAAAGTTTTTACTGGTGACATGTAGAGCGGTGTTCCAACGCATGTTTTAGCAAAGCTGGTTTCATGTTTCAGGACCCTGGCCAGTCCAAAATCGCCTAGTTTAACGTTTAATTGCGAGTCTAAAAATATATTTGCCGGTTTCAAATCTCTATGTAAGACTGAACGCCCATATTTCGATCTTGAATGACATTCTTTGATGGCCTGGGTTAGCTGATAACACACTTTCCAGATAAATTGCTCTTCAACTGTGCTTCTGTGCAATTAAAAATATTTTTGTTACTTAATAAAATAGTAATATTTAGAAATTAAATCAATGAATAACGATTTAATGTTTGGTTAAAAACTATCTGCCTTTAATCAAAATTACTGGATTTTTCAGGAAGAAAAGTGGCATTAAATACAAACCCCTCTTTTTTAACTTTAGCAATGTATGACGCGAGATCCCCGCCCTCACAATACTCCATAATTAGGAAAAGAATAGATTTTTTTCTGTCAATTATCCTGTCCACATATTTCACGATATTTTCATGCTTCAACTCTCTCAACAAGTTGACTTCGGAAACCAGCATTTGTTTGTCACTTTCAGAGGCCGAAGAGTAGTCTAATTCTTTCCAAACAAATATCTTAAACGAATATTTTATAATTTAGCTGAATACTTTTAACAAATTTAAATTTAAAAAATTAATTATGAGCCACCTTTTTATCTTTTAATCTCATAACTTTTTTCACAGTACCATACGAACCAGAGCCAATAACGCCGAGCACCTCAAAATCATTTACACTGATTGCGGTTTTCGGCTGAATTTTAGCCATATTTTAGTCAATATTATTATAGAATAATTATTATTTCACTATTATTTATATTTATTGAGCTATTAAATAAAATTATTTCCTTATAAAACTTTAAATCTTAAATCATTTCGAAAAGCCCGCTTTGCTATAACAGACAGCTGATCGGAATCACGAATTTGTCAACCAAAGTTCGCAAAATATACGTTTTGCAAGATAAATTTTCTACATTAAAATTTTTTTTTAATTTATTACACCATAAAATGTAACTTTTTAAAAATTTAAAGGCCAAAAAATGAACATTAATAAATGTTGAAAAAAATATTTTTTGCGTATACCTAAAATAGTGATTTGATTCACTAAAAATTCTTTGGTTTGAAAGTTCAATTTCCTTTTCCCTTTCCTAGATTTCGTTCTTTTCGTTTGCTGAGGTCGTGAGGACACGTTGTTCTCAGCTCACGAATTTTAATTTTTGATGATTTTTTTTATATTTCTTTTGTGAAACAAATACATTACAAGCATCTCGTATCTCCGCACTGACATTTATTGTTTTTGCGGTCGTAAATTCGATGCAATATTGATGCTGGGCCCATCGTTGGATTTTGTAGTTTTTATTGCTAAAAAAAATCTTGGTTATAACCTAGCTACAACGCTAGCTCTAATTTTAGAACATGTATTCGCAGATTATACCAATAATGCCCGCTCTCCGTGCGTGTAGTTAGTGGAAAATCTGCAAAATAAAAGTCTTAGTAATCCTGGTTGGTTGCTGTCATCAGTGCGACCCGCCCTGGGAAAGCTTTGAGACATTCCATTACGAATATATTTTAAATAAAACCTTTGTTTTTTTTATATATAAATTTCGTTCATGTGTCTGATCTGATGCTTATTAAAAGTATGTCAGCAGTTTTTTGTCTTGCTTTATTAGCTCTTTGGTGCAACTCGACAGCTTTATTCTTGTTCTATCTCTTATATACTGAAATGCCAAATAAACGCTGGTTTTGCACGTGCATTCCGTATGTATCGTGAATGTTAGTTTGTAAGTGTGTATGCGTTTGCATGTAATGGTTCTCTGTTGTATCTGTGTAACAAAAGGTTATAACAAGAACAACAGTTTTATTATTCAGCAAGTAAGTTATTACATGTAAAAATGCATAAAATAAAAAAATCCATAAAGATAAAATTATGTAAGGATGCATAGTAGATATCAGATATCAAAGATGGTCATGTTAATGCGCATGTCAGGCCTATGTAAAAGAATGAATAACGGTAAAAAATAGATTCAAATAATATCATGAAAGGAATTACATGTAGGTTGAATTGGCTAGTGGAATGCTGGACTGCCTAAATTATGAAACATTCTCTGGTGTCTGAAGTTGACATCCCCGACTGCTCCCGAACTGTTGAATCTTGCTGCTGGTGGGAATGATGATGAGGAAGAAGAGGATGATAGTTGATCTACTAAATATTCTTCTGTCAGTTCGTCTGGCGAATCTGTCTCAATCTAAAAATAATTTGCTTAAAAATAAAATTAAGAAAGATAATTTTGAAGAAAGAATGTATGACTAGATGAAAATTTCGCAAAGTTGTTGCTGCTAAAGACATCATTATAGAATTATTGTTGGGCTAATCGTTACAAAAACTTACCTTCCTAGCTACAGGTATCTTAAGATCTGCCTCAACTCTTTGTAGGAATGTCATTTTGCAAGTTGAATACAACATCTTTTCTTTAATTGTAGACTTTCCAACGGGGATTGAGTGGATGAAAATATTGCCTCTGTGATTGAAACTGAACAGGTGATATCTTGGCTTGTCTGTCGGTATGAGGTTTCTGAGTTGTGCCGTCGTTATCTTGTCTGCAACTGCAAGGCTTATTACCTCCTTCGCTATGTCGATGCACTGCAAAGTTTAAACGCGAACTTAAATAAAAAATTATAGATATATATTGAAATGAAAATTGCCAAAAAAAACCATTTTATCTTTGCCAATAGAAATCCAATAACAGGAAAAATTTCTTTAAAAAATAAATTTTCAATCGTATTAGATGAAAAAAATGCTGGCTAACAATCTGTATGTAGTTAACTTCGGCAGATTTAAAGAGCAGCAGGGCGTCTTCGAGTTCTGGTGTTAGAGGAAAGGAGATTGATTGCAATGTCTGCTTTTTACCCTGGGTCCTCATCTCTTCCTGTGTGTGTGTTTGTGTGTGCGTGAGTGTGTGTGCGTGTGCTTCTAGTTCTTTTTGCCAAATATTAACAAATTAATTTCAGCTAATTGCTGAGAAAAAAATAGCCAACTTTTAATGACAACGCAAAACGGCATATAACTACACAAGAAATTTTAATATTTTCACAGATAACAGCTAATTGTCATCTCGTGCATAGTAATTAACCGTTTATATTACAGAAACTCATCCACAGCTTATTACTTTTTACAGCAACCAATATCCAATTTATGTGCCTATAACATATTTATGTTCCAGTTTGTTCAATTTACAATGTCAGATCATAGTGTGAGTGTGTGCTTGTGTGTGTGTGTATTCGTGTATGTGTCTTACTTCGTTTTTCTTTATCTGTTGCAGTTCAATTTCTGCCTTGGTCAATGGCTTAGGTGCAGTGAGTGAACGAATGTAACTGTTGAATCCTTCATAACTGCATTCATTCTGTTGTGATTGTTTGGTGTTTGGTTTGATATCATATCAAGAAAAATTAAATTGATTAACTTTTTCAACTCAAGTAAAAACTAAAAATTAATGCTTTTCTTTTATACACAAACACACACAATCTTATGCACACACAACCATACACGCACACACACATGCACACAAGCAAATATACACATAAACATACAAACTTACAATTGTAGTTGCTGCATAGTCATATTTTATATGCAGTGCTGATATTGCTTTCTTCATTGTCATCTTTGTGGATGCATATATCATTTTTTCCCTAGTCTGAATATATAAATATAAAATATGAATATAAAATGAATAAATATTAAATATGAATTAAAATAAATTGATAAATAAATATAAATATACTCACACATGATATATATATATATATATACACCAAAACATGTGTATGTGTGTTACTATATCAACGTAACACTAAACTGTTACTAAAAATAAAATAATATAACAAGTCAACATATAATTAAAAGAAAGCAACAATTATAACAAATTAAACCTGAGTAGTATCGGGTACATAAGTTATGAGGAGCCATTCTGGACTGCCGTCTTGCTGATATCTTGAATCCAACTTGTATAATATGTAGCACGGCTGATTCACTTTTAAACAAGGTAGCACTGCATTGTCAAAATCTAATTGGTTGGTTGGGGTTGAATGATTGGCTAGAGTTAGTTGTTTGATTGACTTACTGATAATTTGATTGAATGAATGAAAGGCTGATGTAGCTAATAGACTCCTTGACTGAATCATAATTGTTTATTGATCACTTGGTAGATGTGCTGATTGATTCAAAATTAAATCTAAAACTTCAAAGAGCCATAAAATATTATTAAATAAATCAAATTGTATGGTAAATTTCAATGTTTATTTCAAATTTGTAGTACCTTGCTGCCAGGTTCCAATTGGTTTGATGACTTTTTCTAATGAAAGATTTTCTAAAAAGATGAAATAAAATATAAATGAAAATGATAAATTGTTTTTTTTTTCAAACTTTCACTATAATAATTATAAAATTACCAAAACCAAATAAAAATGAATCATAAAATTTTTAAAATATTAAAAATAAGACTATTTCAGAATAAAATTAAACATTTGATAAGTTAATTTAAAAACCTGAGTTAATGATCATTTTGATTAATCGAATTTGGCCAAGTTTTGCCTGACTTATGGCACTTTTCAGCTCAGTGGTTGCTAAAAAAAAAACAGAGCACTATAATTATAATGACAACTAATGATACAACTTGTTAAATTTATAAAATAAAAATATTAAAAATAGATGAAAGTTTTTTCAAAATCTCACCTGAAATTCCAGACGAATGCGTCATTCTTGAATTATCTATTTACAAAAAAATTACTCTTCCTATAATTAGTAAAATAATACCACAATTAAAACTTAAAAAAAACTAATAATCGCACTTTTAATACATGAAATAATCAAATCTTGCGAACGAACGTTACCCGACTCTACCTATTAATCCGTGTAAAAGTGAGTACTGATTAAAACATTTACCTATACATACCAAGTACTTTGATTAGATTACAATACAATATACCATATAAACTTTATTACATATACATATATGATGGAAGGAGACAAACACACATACACAAACATTTATATATATATATATTATATTGCACAATTCAATGAAATCTTAATATACATATATACACACACACATTTGTATTTGTATATGTATTATATATTGCATAATTCAATGAAACCTTAATATATATATATACGTAAATATATTACGTATAAAGTATATATATATATAATATATATACGACATTTTTAACACATACATAAATTAAAAACATATTATATATCCTTTCTTTCTCTATCTACCTCTCTTTATATATATATTTAAAGAAATAAAAATACAAATTATAGACACACACACACACACATATAAACATGTGTTATTATAGTAGCAATGTTTTGCATTGCACCTATTGTTCATAAAAAAATTTACCTTGATGAATAGCTGATTTCATAAATGTTTAGACACAAATACACACACACACCACACCCACACACACATATATATATATATATATATATATATATATACATATACACACAGTAATAAAATGCATCAAAAGATTTGAGCATATTATGTTTGCCCATAGATCATTTACATACGCAAACAAAATTAGAAGAGAGACAAGCATGCTATTAAGAAAATTTCCTCATTAATTCCTATGTTTAAATCAGCAATAACAATAGATGAACTGATATAGATAGATAGATCGATAGATCGATATAGATAGATAGATAGATAGATAGATAGATAGATAGATAGATAGATAGATAGATAGATAGATAGATAGATAGATAGATAGATAGATAGATAGATAGATAGATAGAGAGTGAGAGACCGATATAGATAGCTAAATTGAAAGCATCAACTGATTAAAACTTATTCGTATAAATCTGCTCTTTATCAAATGATTTATTGTTTATTATTGACACTCATTCAAATCAACAACAATAAATAAATTTTTTTTAATTATGTTAAGATAACTGCATAATTTTATGATTAATGTTAGAAAAGCGACAGGCATATATAGAAAGATTAAAAAATTTGAAAAAAAAATTGAGTGAACGAACAAATAAAAGAATGAATGAATGAATGGAACGAACGAATAAATGAATAAACGAATGAATGAATGAACAAACGAACGAATGAATGAAGTAAAAAATGGATGAACAACTGGATAGACAGAAGTGAAGAACGATCAAATAAACAACAAATGAATGAACGAACAAATGAATAATTGATTAAAACCATGATTGATTGAATGAATGATTGAAAAGAAGAAGGTATAAATAAATAAATAAGTAAATTAATAAATAAATTAATAAATAAATAAATATAAAGAGCTGAAGCAAAAGTAATATCATAAAATGTACTCAACACAGTTCACTGGTATGTATGCTTTAAAAAGCTTCAACATTAAACTAACAAATAAATCTTAAAATATAATTTAACCCATAAAATAAAGAAAAAACAACCGAAATAAAACAAAAGAATAAGCCATTTAAAGATGGGACGAAATTTGGGAGAACACTAACTAAAAAAAATTGAATATAAATTCATTTGATTTTTGATCCCACACACTTTATGTAAGACACTTTCACGCTGTTGTATATACCAGGCAGCAAAAAAGATGTATATACCGGTATTATAAATAAATATACACATAAACATATGCGCTTATGTTGCTTTGTATGCGTGTGTGTGTGCGTGCGTGTGTGTGTACATACATTTAGTACAAACATACAGACACACACACACATACAAGCATGCACACGCGCACATAGCAAACGAAAAAGCTAGATGTCATTTCACAACTGTGCTTAATTGGGCTAGCTAAGAAAACATTCAAACAAAATAAAATAATAAAAGAATGGAGAAAAAACTTAAGATTCGTAGAAAATGAAATAAAGTTTATCTTAATTCCTGTAGACAATGTCATCTCGCCACCAAACTTTATCGCCACAAAAATCCACACCGACACAATCATCATTACCATTACAATCACCAACACAACAATCATTGAAATCAGCCAAACTATCTAACTAACGTAAAACAAAAATGGCAAATTTATTTCCCACCACCACCATCATCATCACCATCATCATCACCATCATCATCATCATTTCATGAGGTAAGACTTGGTGTGTTCGTAGACAACGTAGCTGATCCCAACAGCAGGTAGAACTTTCAGAAAGTTGGGAGCCAGACCCCTGTAGAACCCTAACAGTCCCTCCTTCTCCATTATCTGCCGGGAGATCGATACGACGTCATTCTTTCCGTCGGCCCCCACTGGTAAAAAATAATAATCTGAGAGTCATTCGTTTTTATAATTCAAATTGTTTATTCACAACACAAGAAGACCAGCCATTCAACTGCCTCAACAGGAACTACAGACGCTGCTACCATTCACGAACGCTAGAAATAAAGCCACGACACATAATTCTCAAAACAACTACTGCTGCCACTGGCGCTACTATTATGAAAACAACCACCTCAGTTATTACTACTTCAACTTCAACTAACATCCGGATTGCATCTTGGTCCTAACTAGTGAGAGAGGGTAAGTGAAGATCTGTCCAAGTGAGCTGCTCATTGTGCCACAGCCCAGTAACACTAAAACTCCAGGTGCAGACTTGTCGGGGTTTCGGGCCATGTAGAAAGTTTTTAACGTCTGTCGTTGGTTGTTAGCGTTGTTGTGTGTCTGGCTTTGTGTCGATTTGAGGCATGTTTGCATCGTTTTTGTTTGTGGTGTGTACGTATGAAATTTAAGACAGCAAACGTTTTTACAATACCTCATAAGTTGCCAGGTCAATACCAGCGTACGGTATAATACCGACCAAATTCGGAATGAATCCCCTGTAGAAAGCCTTCAAGCCTTCGTGCTTGTATATCTTACGCGCGCAATCCAGCATGCCATTGTATTGGCCCGATTTGCCAATGGCCAAGCGAGTCTTGATGACCTAAAATACATACATAAATACACATACATACATACACACATAAACACACACATACATACATACAAACATGCATGCATAGCATACACACATAAATACATTCATACAAACATATGTGTATGCTAGCATTCACCCACGCACATATACACACAAACACACACACACACACATAGAAAACGCACTTCCATGGGGTATATAGTAGTCTGTGAGAAAGCCCCAGCTGATGAGCCAGCCAGGAATCTATCTTTAACCGTTATCTGCTGTTTACTACTGCCACTACCATCATCACCGCATATCAACTTCTTCATCTGTGTTTGTTTGTTTGTTTGTATGTATGTATGTTTGTTTGTTTGTTTGTTTAAACGTTTGTGTTTGTTTGTATGTTTGTATTAATAAGTGAATATCTGTTTGTGCGTGTGTATATAGTATATGTGTACGTGTGATCGCATTCGCGTGAATGTTTGTATGCCATCATTGTTGGATGGTATGTTTGTATTTTGTGTTTTTATTTGTACTTCTTCTGCATTTGCTCGTACGACAAGAAGTTGGCGTCCTTGAATAAAACAGTTAAAATGCTGCTAAGAACATCAACACGTCCCAACGGCAAGCAAGAATGATTGACAACAGAACAACAAAGCAAGAAGCAACAGCACCCACGTGTTCGTACGCGAAGAACTTGAGGGCAGTGTCGGGGGCAATCTTGATGACATTCGTCCCATTTCCTCTCCACAATGACCTCACGCCCCCTTCTCTTATCATCTGCCTCACCACATTCAACAATCCACTGTTTGCAACTTTCTTGCCATGCACCTAGAGCAAGCAGATTTATACTTTAATTATTAGCTCATCAAACCTTTTTCTCCATCTTTCTCTCTATACATATTTGATAACGCTTGTAACAACTAACTGACCATGTAAAAAACTTTAACTCTGTCTAAAGGTGCAGTGGCCGTCCTCGAGACGAGACCAGCCACCCCACCGGAGACCAGCAACCGCCACCACTGACCCGACGACTTTTCTTTTTTCGTGAACTCCGGCGGGACTGTCATGGACTCTCCTATGTCGATCATCTGTGAGGTAGGTAGGTAGATTAGGGAGTAATCAGGGATTAGTGAAATGAAATGGTTCTAATCATTTAGAGAGGACTGCATGAAATACAGAGTAGAAGAATAACGATCAAACACACAGACAAAAACACGGATAGAATGAAAGGTATTTAAACAGAGAGTCAGACAAAGATACATAAACAGACAAAGATACAGACAGATACACAGTCAGACAAACACACATAACAATAATACAGCAGACCAAAGACTGCCTCCAGAAGACAATCATATCTTCTAGGTTGGCAGAAGGCATCAGCTGGAAAAAGTTCCTCCACTCCTCCCAATCCAGAGACAAACTACCATCCTTGTCAATCCTTCAAATTAAACATCAATAAAATAAATGAATAAGATGTGAATTAATTAATCCAAAATATTATATTACAACATTATTGTGATTAAATGCATAGAATAAAAGTAATACAGAATACTGATTTGGAGAAAAAGCTTATTATTTATACAAAAAATGACATTTTGGTAATTATATTAATTTATTAACTTTTTCAAATATCCTATTTATAATATTTAATTAATTATTAATGAATTATTTATTTAAATAAAAATAAAATAAACTTTTTTGTAAGATTTTGAGCTTCTTCAATGCCAATGTGCAAATCCATCTGCTTGAATGCCTCCCTAACTTCCTCTGCATCAATTCTTCCTAAATTTTTAAGAAAAAACTTGAAAAAATAATTTGTTAAATATTAATAATAATTATGTATTAATAATAATGAAATTATGCTCGTACCATCTTTGTTTCGGTCTAAATGAGAGAATGCCAACGTTAATTGCCTTTCATGGTCATGAAGAAATCCTAAAAATTCTGAAAAATTCACTCTGTTGTCTTTGTTGATGTCTGCTTTCTTAACCAAATCCTGGATTATAAAAAAGAAAAAATTACTGGATATGATAATCAAATAACATCTGAATATCAATATATAATATATATATAATATATTATACAATGAACACTGGTGAACTCATCCAATCCACAGCTACTGGACGATGGACCTGTTCAGTTTGTAAAGCTGGTGTAGGTAACAATTCAATCAAGTGTCAGCAGTGTAACCAGTGGTGTCACAAACGTTGTTCAAAAATAATTGGTACTTTATCTAAAGTGTCCAATTTTGTTTGTCCTGCTTGCATCAATCCACAACAACAAATTCGAAATAGCACTGTTTTTGAAGCCATTAAAATAGAGAAAGTCACATCGTTTCAATATCTAGGGGATGTTCTGGATTGTACTGGAACAGCTGAAGCTGCCATTCGAGCACGCATACGTGCAGCCTGGAATAAATGGCATCTCCTTGCCTCTATATTGATGCGGCGTGACATTCCACTACCACTACGATCAAGACTTTATAAATCTGTGAAACGTCCGGTGTTGTTATATGGTGCAGAAACATGGCCAATGACAACCAAACTGGAACAACAACTTCAACGAACCGACATGAAAATGCTCCGATGGATGCAACGAATTAGTCTGAAGGACCCATCAATCTACCAAAATTCTTTGTCGTGCTGGTTTAGATGATATAAAGGACGAATGCCGGCAACACCGTCTGCGGTGGTTTGGTCATGTCAAACGAAGTGGAAACAGTGCCATAACTTCTCTTGCAGATGTTGAAGTACCTGGAACACGTCCCAAAGGCCGTCCAAAGAAGTCCTGGTCAAAGAAGTCAAAGAAGAACAATCGAGCAAGACATGAAGCTCTAAATTTAAATGGATACAACTGATCATCTAATTTGGCACAAAAAGTTGATGGCAAAGAAAACAATGTCCTACCTCGGAAAACCGGGTCTCTGGACGCAAAACGAAGATTGATTGATAGATTGATTGATAATATATTATACCATAATTTAACATAAATGTTATATTCATACAAAAGAAAATGCCTTAATTTATTTTATACATAAATGGCTTGCTATTATGACCTTCCTTTAGATACCAATGCTAATCTATTCCAAAGCCATGGATTAATATTAATTTAATGTTTAATGATTAATTAATCATTAATGATGTTAATTAATTTATTACTTAATTTTAGAACTTATTATTTATTATATTATTTTATTACATAATTGAATAATTCATGATTGAAATAAAGTCAAAATAATCCAATGAAATAAGAACTGACCGCAGCGTGTTTTGAGAAATCACCTTTTCCGCCATAGAGCTGCGAGAGAGCCTGAGATAATTCAGAGATCTCGATACTGCCATCTTTATTTTTGTCCAATTCCTGAAATAATTTCTCGTAACGTTTCCGATCTTCTTCGTTTAACGACGTTGATGACATCTTAAAAGATTGCGATAGCTAAATCAAACTTTTTATTGCGAAGAAGATAATTTGATTAATTCGGATTAAACGTTACGAGAAATACGTTATTTTTGGCAAAAATTTCCTAAAATTTTTTCATTGTTCACTTTTCGCCGATTCAAAAGGTGGTTGCAGGAGGACGCGTTTTGTTTTCGATCGGGTTATTTGACTTCCTCGCATTGGTGACTTACATAACTAGAATAAATATTACGGCCTTCGCTCAAGGAGCTTACTTTCGGAGAAGATTTGGAGGGTGATTTGCTATCGTTCGGGTCGGGCTATTTGACATACTTGGATTATTGGCTTACGAAATTGCATGGATTTTAACGAGCAAGCTATATGAAATATTTACTTGACTTAATATGCTTAAAACATTGTAGTAATTCTATTTAATTTTATTATTCTATCTATCTATTTCTTTATTTAGTTTTGCTTGCGTATGATGTTTGGTCAAATTTATTTGATAGGAATTGAATATAACTTTTATACCGGCTGATTAACTACCATGCAGTAAAATAACTACTGTTAACATTACGTCATTTCCCCGAACAATTTCGCAGCGATATACCCATCCTATATTATAAATTTTATTTGATGTTTTTTAATAAGTCAGGTCACAATCATCATCATCGTCGATATCGCAATGAAATCAAATTGAGAATTTTTTTAATTTTTGAAAAAAGTATCTTTATTCATTTTATGATACTACTTTGTTCAATAAGATACTGTTTGATACATATAACTAGAATAATAATATGGGCTTACTTATGAAAATACACACACACATTTACATATATATATATATATATATTTATATATATAGACATATACAGAATATGTCAGTAATTGTATCCATAGCGTGAATTCTGTAGCTACTTTTAGTTTTAGCTAACGTAACGAGCGATAAAACAAGTTTTTTGGACGCCTACCCAGCTGTTCCTAATTACCAAATAATTAGCTAATGGAGAATGTGAATATTAATGACGTCCACAGAAGAGAGAATGAGGAGAAGTTGAGAGAGGCGGCGGCTAGCGGGGACCTCGATGCCATAAAGAGTCTTGTCAGGAAAGGAGTTGACATCAACTCTCAAAACATCATCAACCACTGGTTTGTAGTTTTTAATTAATTTTAAACAGTTCAACTTTGTCATCATCATTAAAAATAGATAAGTAGTTAGTAGTGAGGGAATCTGATTATTCCACTTTGATTATTATTTTAAAATTTAAATATTATATTATAATTACATGTTTTTAATTTATTCTAATGATAAGTAATGTTTGCTTAAGCCTTAAGACTTAAGTTAAGTAAGATTAAGAATCTTAAAAATTAAGTTAAGAAGATCATAAGGTTTATTAGCATTATTCATTATTTTTGTTATATTAATTATAACAGCAGTAATGAATAACACTAATACATCTTATGATCTTAACTTAAAATTCTTTAATGTTTTATAATATTAGTGACTCAATCTAATCTAACATTTTTATTCCTGCCTAAATTTAGGACAGCTTTACACTGGGCCTGTAAAAGAGGTCATAAATCAATTGTTGCATACCTATTAAAAGAGGGGGCCAATCCATCCATCACCACCCTAAACAGAGAAACGTGTTGGCAACTCTGTTCTGATCCTAACTTTTCAGTACCTTTTACTGGTAGTTTTTATGTTTTTTTTTTATTTTGTGGTAAATATTTGGTTTTAAATCACACTGATCAGCGATGTTATTTCATTCGATTAGGGAAGCCAGAATTTTGTAACATTAGTTCTGACAACAACAACAACAGTTTCGAACAGTCGTTTGTACCTCATTATTTGGCTCATCCCATTTTTCCCTACGCTAAACAAGTATGTGTTATTGTTTTGTTTGTATGCTATGTATGTGTGTATGCACATTGTTGTACGTACATGTCTATGCGCGAATGTTTGTGCATATGTTTGTTAAGTATTTTTACTGCTCTTTTGTGTGTTTGATTAGGTTTTCAGCATATTCTAGTATTTTTTCCAATTAATTTGAAAAACAGAACAGCACAGATCAACATGATGATTACAGTATCGATGAATTTCAGAATGACTATGGAAAAAGATCGAAAATGTCTAATTTATCTATGGAGAGAGAGTTTTGTAATGCTTCGTCTCTACCATCTTCTGGTGTTATTTTGTTCTTTGTTTTTTAAATACTAGTAATAGTTGTTTGTCCTATTATTAGCAGTAATAATAAAAGTGATAGTCACAATGATAATACTATTACCACTTATAATTCGTTTGAATGAGTGCGTGAGTTAGTGCGTGATTTAGTTATTTAATAATATACGAATTTATCTTCAACATATTTTTTATTTGCAGAATTGGTTTTAAGAGTAAAACTCGAAAATGAGAGTGACTTCATTGAAGTTGATTTTCAGGACAGAAATACTCTTACATTCAAACAACTTTTCGAAATTCTCTGCAATGAATTCAAAATAGAGAAGAGTTCAATGAAGAAGTTAAGAAAACTACCAAATACTATAGTCAGAAATGATAGAGATGTAAGACGTTTGTCGGATTTCCAAGAACTTGAATTGGTTCTAGTTCCTGCTGAAACTATTCCTTTCGTCGAAAATACTCCTAGATAGTGTCTAATTAGTCCTATCTTAAACACTTTTTGCATATTTTTATAAAAAATTGTATCATCATGGGTGAACTTTGGTTTTTAATTTTGATTTGCCTATATACTTTTTAGTCAGGGATGTCAGAAGGGGAAGGTGGCAACTCCCTCCACTTCAATTTATCTTTTTATCATAAAAAAAACTTGTTGAAACAATTTTAAGACGTTATCAATGAAAATCTGGTAGCTGGTATATAATATTGTAATGCAAAGTATATCTACTGACATGGCTTCAGCCACATTATCTTCAAAAGACTACCGATCAATTCATTATCAGATGAAATGCGGATTCGACCTGGAAAACTACGTCTGATGAGTTCAGTCTGATCTACAACGGCATCGCACATTATTAGTAGTGATTTTCAGTTTGAAAGACGTCATACCAAGATGAAGATAGAAGATGAAGATAGAAAATTTAATTTCCACGAAAGAGCCATCGCTTTTAACTCCAGAGACACTTTTAAACAGTCTTTGCGTAGATGCTGAAGACATTGCTAGCAACACGTATGTGGAATAATACTACCAATAGCGTTGACGGGTTCATACTGTTTAATCCATACAGAAAATTATAAAACTAGAAATTGACGACTCTGCCATTAGTGTAGTGACAGAAGGTGCCTGAATTTTTGATTTTGTAGGTTTAGCAAAGTTTTTTTTGTAATTTTTTCACTTCTTTGTACAGCATGCGGATATAGATATTAGTTTTATCGTAAGCCAAACTGAATATTTTAAATATCTCCGTTGAATATCTTTGCATATTAAAACGCATATCGTTTCAGATAATTTTTCATTTTTAAATATAATATTTCATTTTATATTCGTATTTCAGATCGAATTTTTATTTAAAAAAAGCTTCAAGTCTGAAAACATCTTATTGTGCATATATTACAACACAATAGTTTTCTATAGTTCACCACCACCATTATTATTATTATTGTTGTTGTTGCCATTATGATTGTTATTCGTGATCTGGGACCTTTTTTTCTGATATTCTCGATCGATCTCCCTCTTACAGTCCCCTCTAAGCCCCGTTTGGAAGCACAAATACTTCTGCAGATGGTAGATGTCATCTGGTTCCTCCCTGTAGAACCTGTATATTTCCACCTCATCTACATCTTCTACGATTCTCTGACATAGTTGGGAGAGTCTGAGGGGTTTTATTTTGTATGAAATGGTTTTATTTTTCTTGTTTGAATTTCCTTTTTTTGTATAAAAATAATAATGATTTTAAATTATATATTTTGTTATTTTTGAATTTGTTGTTTGACAAGGGAATTAGAGATATATCACTAAATAAAATTAAAAATATCAATGTTTTCAAACTTTGCTTGAATGTAGTATATTACAGTTCAACAACTGACAAACAACGACTGACCAACAATAATATACAAAAACGTACAAACAACAATATACAAACAACAACATACAAACATACAAAAACATACAAACGAAAATATACAAACAACAACATACAAACACATACAAACGACAATATACAAACAACAACATACATACAATAACAAACAAAAACGTACAAACAACATACACACATACGTACAAACAACAACATACAAATAGCAACGTATAGAATAACAGCACACCACCTCCCAGGCCACATTCCACCACCTGACATGACGACAGGTACATCCCTAGAGGGCAAACCGCCCCCAGATAACTTTTTCAAACCTTTTATTTCTTTGATTCCATATCTTTGGTGAAAGGAAAATGTATTTGTATGTATTACTAATTAAAAAATAATTGATGAATATTAAAGTTATAAGATTCAGTCAAAAAAGTTGTTTAATTACTGACAAAGTTTTCATGTAAGATATTAAAATAACCTTTAATTTGATTCGAGGTATTTTTGGAGAATTTATAAATCAGTAACAAGCTTTTTCAATTTACTTCAACATATACATAATCTTAATTTGTTGCCTATTAATAATTTTTATTGAAAAATTAATAATATTTCAACAAAGACAGCACAAACAATTTGTAAGTAGATGGATCACATATTTTATCAACCAAGTCTAGTAATTCGTATTCTGGGATGTTGTACTTGTGTTGTTTGTTGTATTTGTTGAAGTCATCAAAAGCAGTGTAAAACTGTTTTTTGATATTATATTATTTATTTTGTAATAACGTTTAATTTATGTAATATAAATTCATAAAAATATTGAAAAGACTTTTGAAAATTTTGAATTATTTATTTTCAGAGTTTATTTTTAAATATGAAACATTTTTTCAGTTTTGCTATATTTTATATTAGGATTAATAACTTCATTGGTTAATTTTAATGATGATATTATATTTACAATAGCCGAAACTAAAAAACAGGAATAAATTCTATTTTAAAGAGTTACTTAATTTTTAATTTAATGAATTAACAATGAATTAACAACTTACTTATTAATTACATTACATTTACAACTGATCCATTTAAAAAAAATGTGCAATGATAACAATAATGTATTCATTATTAGTTTTTAAAATTCAAATAAATGCCATTTGTTACCTGAAAAGCGACGGCCTTGCAAGCATCGCACCTAAAATTCTCCGGAATGAAACGACTTTTCGATTCTTCCTCCGTTAAAACAGGCGGATCGACTGATAATTTGTGCTCGGTTATTTTCTTCAACGGTTCAACGGCACATATATCACGTATTAAAAATAGAAAAACAAAATTAAATAATATAAAAATGCGTAAACTATCACAGAATAATACTGAAATACGTGATTGAAACATTCTTTGTGTTTTCTGGCTGACGATTTAAATTACCTGCTAAACTAATTAAAACAATCGAGGTGAGAAAAATATAAAAGCGGACTTAGGTTAACATTTTTTTTATGAACTCCTGAAAATTATTTAAAATAAAATAAGAATCAAAAACAGAAAAAAATTTATTTAGTGGAGCAGAGCCGACAAACCCGGACCCATATTGGTGGTAGATGACATTCAAGGTACAAAACGCACGCGCAAAACTAACTCTGTCCATAAACCCCAACCAATTTTATTAATAAAACCAAAACAAAAATGGACAACAAACATGAACGAATAACGAATGGTCCATAAAACGCATGAATGATTGACAGATAGATAAATAGATAGATGGATGGATAGCAGATAGATAAAACAGATAGACCGTCAGACAGATAAACAGACTGAGAGGCAGATAGATAGGCAGACGAATAGAGTATACTATAATCTCATAGAATATTTAAATGATGAACAGTGAGAAAGTAACTCTTCTTGCATGCGTCAGTCGGTTTAAATCTTGTTGAAGGCTACGATGTCCATACTTTGGACCTGGAAAGCAAAAACAAAGAGTAATAACATTAATATTACAATTACTATACAAACAAACAATAACATTAATATTACAATTAATATACAAACAAACAATAAAATAATAATTATTGTAACAAATCATAAAGATATAAAAACTAACATAGTCTTCAAAAGCAACGATCTTTTCCTCAAGCTCTTCAGTGCTCACCTTATCATCTTCAACAACACATGATATCTGTAATGCTTTGATTCCATAGGCCACTGGAACAAGCTTTGCTGTGAAGAAGACAACAATTATAATAATACAAACTATTACTACAACAACAACAACAACAAAAGATTAATAACAATGAAAATAATAACTAACAAGCTCCCCAGAGCAAGCCATCCATCTCGATACTTCTCACGCACTTCTCTATCTTACTCATGTCAATCTCATCGTCCCATGGCTTAACACTGAGAATAATGTTGGATTTCGCTATCAACTGCGGTTCTGTATTTAGATAATTGTTAATCTATGTGTCAGTATGCGTATGTATGTGCGTATGTATGTGCGTGCCTGTACGTGCAAAATGTACGCATTCGTACGTGTATGTACGTCTATATGTAACAGGATAATAATTGTATCACAAATAACTCTCACGTCATGAACAATGATACAAAGTACGACCACGAAACTTACTGACTGATACCATGAATGAGAATAATTTACAATACATTTACTAATACTACGTATAATAAAACCACAAATATTATGAACAACAAAACAGACTCTTAGATTTCTTCTCTTCATAAGCCTTCACCCTCTCCTGCTTCACTCGCTCGTAATCATCGTCCACAACGCCTTTCTGATTTCAAAAAATTATTTTTTCGTCATAAATAAGTCAGGGTGGTGGTGAATCAGAATGAAATGACAGATAGATAGTTGGATAGATGGATGGTACAAAATTACAGATGTAATAGCTAAACGGAATGAGTGATTGACTGATTGATAAACGAATGAAACTAACTTTGGGTGAAATAAAGATGAAAGAACTGATGAATGAATGATGGAATGAAAGAAAGATAGATAAAATGATGCATTGGATAGACGGAACAGCAAGAAGCCTACATCAGATTCAAACAATTCAAAGTCATCATCATCTTCGTCTTCCTCTTCGGCAGCTGCAGCATTAGATTTCCATGCTGCAGCTGCTTTCGCTGGGACCACAGGTTCTGATGATGATATCGTCGACGGTGCCGCCAAATTCAATTTATCCAAACTCTCAACTTTCTTTGACAACTCTCCGACAATCTTTTCCAACTCCGACAGCTCTGGATGGTTGTTTTTTATTCGCCATCATTCGTGATAATAATAATTAATAATAATAAAAATTGAAAAAAAATTATACTTATGATTATCTGTTCTAATTATTACAATCACAGCTAACTTTTCTTGATTTCAATATAGTCTTTCATCATCTCATCAAATTTATCTGCACCTTCACCCTGTATAAATAAAATAACAATAATAATTAATAAATAATATAAAGAACAATATGGATAGCCAAAAATAATAATAACTTATGAAAATTATAGTAGAGATTGAAACAATTTACTGACAATAATATTTCAGTGATTCAATTTAGACTAGCATTAGTAATATATTATTTTTATTACGACGACCTCTGCTCTCCACTAACCGTTGACATCTCCACCAAGCATGAAAGCATATAAATATAAATAATAATAATAATATAACGAATAATTTATAATAAATAATATTAATAATAAAATATAGATGTATGTCAACTAGAATTACAAATCTATATACATTAAAAATACATGCCGTTAATTCTGTTTTGCTGGTTGCAAGTCAATAGATTTAGATTTTAAGATATGTAAAGTTAATCAATTTAATGAATAAATAAACAAATTTATATAAAAAAGAACATAAATAATAATAATAATTCATAAATAAATATTGAGAAAATAATAAAAGATAAATGAATAAGGAAGACCCCTGACTTAACCACCACCCAAGGAACTAATTATACACAATGAAACAACAACAACAACAACACACGTTTAGACGACATTTTCCCCGAGATCGGGGGTTGCCGTTTGGCTACCTATGATGAAACCGAAATACCCCTCGATGCCATTCCATCATAAGTAATTTATTTGGCTAATTTTTACGCAGGACGCCCTTCCTTACGCAACCACAGTTATAAGCGGTGGGCCTAACCTTCGATGATCCAACATCCCTCACAAGGCAGTGAGGGTATTATACACAATGAAAAAAAAATGAAAATCCCTATTTAAAATGATATTATATAAAAAACAATAAAAATAAACAAGGTATAAAAACAAAGAAATGAAAAAACTTTTGAAAAATTGAATAAAGTCAATCCCCCAAATTCCAAACAAACAAACCAACAAATTCTGTAAACAATGAAAACATCTCTCATATATAAATAACAAAGTAGTAGTAACTGATTAAAACAATTACACCTAAAAATAAATTACTCAACCAAAATACTCAACTAATTATACTACTGTTGGATAACATGACAGAAGGTTATACTATATATTAATGCTAACAAATAACTAAAATTACATCATAATCTAACATGTTAAGCATTGACATACATATGCATGCATAGACATACATGTGTACTTAGACACACACATACAGACATGCCAGCACACATATACACATCTTATACAAATGCATACATAAAAAACAACCCACAAACATACATCCATACATACAAAGATGTATACATACAAAAATATATACACACATACAAACATGTTCACAAAACATGCTTTTGGTTACATTTTTTCAACAAAACTTACATCAAGACCATGTAATGTGTGTTTTATTTGTTCTCTAGCCTTAGCTATTTCACCAGCTATTGATGTTTTAGCCCCCTGTCAATCAATTAGTCAATCCTCTAAAAAAAATTTCGATCTATAGTTTCATCAACAACAACAATAAACACATTGTTGCAAAGGAATGGTGAAAGAGATGTATTTCTGATTACAATTTAGTTATAATACATTTTTATCTGAATTTATAAAATATTTTCATTTAAATTAAATTGAAAATGAAAAGGCAGGAATTTATTATCTGATAATATCACCAAAAAATGATAATTATGAAGAGTATAACACTATAACAACAAATGGAATGTTGTTGCCTGTTGATTCAAAAAACTTGGAAAAAAATTTTTAAATCCCTAATAAAAATAAAACAAACAAAAAAACTGACTGAGCCATGTTGGGGAGGATGATGATGGGGTGCCGGATGGCGATGATGAGGATGGCGTGGCTGGAAATGCTGGTGGCTCTGATTAGAATGGGAAGGATGAGGATGATAGTTGTGATGCTGGGGATGGTGAGCTGGATGATGGGGTACTGGATGGCGCCCTTGAAAATGTCCGTGGTGGGCGGGATGGGGGTGCTGATGATCGTTCAGCGCTCGGGGGTGGTAAACGGATTCCGTTCCCCTCTTCAAAGCTGCCAGGTGCTCCTGAAACGCATGCTCGGCGTCGTCAAATATCGGCCGCTCAACGAACGTACTTTCAGACGCTGCCAATTCCGCCATATTTTAAAGATTGCTTTTGTTTGATAAAAATAAATTAATAATTCAAATTATATAAAAATTTATCAAATTAATTAAACGCGAAACTTTATTTTTTTGTACCTTTTTTGAGGCGTTGTTGGCAGAAAGCAAAAGTTCACTTTTAAAAGGGAAAAAGACTGTGCGAGTTTTTCTAACTATATAGTTTATGAATGGCTTATTGATTTTTAAAACTTTTAGAAAAGTGATTTAATAGACACAAACTGGTCTGTGATTTTTTTAATTAAGTTATTTGCATTTTTTATAAACATTTAATTTATTAAAATGTGTTTAAATTGTGCATTTAATTTGAAATCAAAAAATAAACTATCAGATACTGATAAACTCAATGGTAGTTGAATTCTTAACATCATTTTTAGTTCGAGAACGCTTTTTTTATTTTGTTCGAAGTCCATTTTTTAATTTTCTCATCTCTATCACATCGTCATCGTCTGAAATTTCTTTTTTTTTTTTAAAAATGGCCTCAAATAATGATTGGGAGACGGTTGGGAGTAAGAAGGGATCAAAAAATATTAAAGTTACGAATAAGGATCAGCAGCAGAATGCCTCCAGAAAGCAGCGTCCTAACAATAACTTGGACAACATGCCACGTATTGAACCAAATGGTATTTTTAAATTAAATAATTTAATTTATTTATTTTTATAAATTATTTTAGAATTATAACCAAATATTATTCAAGCTGAATTTATTATTATTATTATTATTATTGTGATTATCATTTGATAAGGTGATCTCGAAGATCCACCTAAATTTAATTAAAAAAGCTAATTTTCTGCTAATTTTATTTGCTGAATTACTACACAAAAAACAAGTTTTTTTTACAATTATTAATAATGAATTAATATAATTTTTTTATTTAATGTATACATATTTTAAAAAGTACATAAGTATAATTTACTGAATAATTATTAATGAGATAGTTTTTCTTAATTTTAACCAGTGAAAAAGATAAATGATGATAAAAAAGAATTGGTCTTACACTCTTACTCTTAGTTAATGTCCTTGATCTTAATGAGATTAAAATGCTTCATTAATTTTTAATTAAATATTAATAAATATCTGATGATAGTATTTTTAAAAAAGATTACTCATTTTTATGGTAGCGCCGATGAAAGAATCCCCAACAATTTATCAGGCATTTCTAGAGGAAGAACTCCGAAAGGAAAGAAAACTTCTAGAAAGTGAAAAAGAAAATGCTAACAAGGAGGCTAAAAAACCAAGTGCTACAACAATGAAAAGGAGAGATAGAGCTCTTAGTTTAAAAGATTGTCTTACAAAAGTTTGCATGTGTTTTATTTATTTTAAATTCAATTAAATTCACATTTCAATTTTATTCTTTGTTTGATTGATTGATTGAATGTTTCATTGATTGACCGCATGTTTGAATGAATTGATGAATAAATAATTAAATTAATTAATGATTGATTGATTAGTTAATGGATTTTTACAACTTGAAAAAATTGATTCATTTTTTTAGTGTTCTATTCTACTTCCCTCCATATTTTTTAATTTAATTTTTAAATTATATATTCAAATATATAATTTTGTATTAAAAACCAATCTTAAAAACAGTTACAAATTGAAGAATTTGAGTCAATTCTGAAGAAAGATGAGATTTTGTATCCAAAGAATTCAAATATTTGGCTCCGAGATATTGCCTCCTTTCTCAATTCACAACTTGATCACATCACTGATTTTGATCCCATCATTGCTAACAAGCCAAATGGTATTATATACTGTAGTGAATTAATTCATCTATCAGTTCACTCATTCATTTTCCCATTATTAATTCTTTCACTTTCAATCACTCAGACCATCAATTCATATATTCATTCCTGAATTAATCCTTTCATACATTCATTCATCAATATATCTATCTATTTGTTCGTTCATTCATCCATTTATTTATTCATTTTTTATCATTCATTTATAGATCTTTCAATCTATATATCCATCCATCCATTCACCCACCTATTCATTCATTCAGTCCTATTCATTCATTCAGTCCTATCCATTCATTCAGATTATCCGGTGAGTGAGATGCCCGATACTCTGAAGAAGTATTTAATCGAGAAATTCTCGTCATTTTCATCGGAGGCCAATCTGTCGTTGCTCGATTACTGCATAGAATCCCTAACCACCAACGCCATTAAAGGTTTTTTTTTCTAATATTACCTAACATGAATAATTGTTTTGCAATAATAACTGTTATTATTGTACTATTTATTATTTTTTTTTAGACCAATCATCATATGGCTTTCGCCTAATCGTTCAAATACTACTGCACAGTAGGCCTAACTTAGTCTTAGACCACCTCACTAAGGTTTAGTGATAATTAAAGTGGTATTTATAATTAAAATTATAATTTTTAATAACTATAACAATGATGATCGTTTTTCATTATCTTACACTATATTTTAAGTTTGAATCTTTGTTACAACGCAATTCAAACCGACCAATCAAAGCCCTGGCCATACTGTGGAGCGTCGGCCAGGTTGGAGTCACATCCCTAAATAATGGGGTCAAAGGTCAGTCGGGTTTTTTATGAATTAGGAATTGGGCAGAGTTTTTATCATGATAATGGTGATTGTGTTGAGTGATTTTAAAGACCGAATGGATGACGACGAAGATGATGATAATTATTATTGTAATTATTGTTATCAGAAAGAAAACAGTGCTGGCAATCACTTGCGTGTATTGCTGTGATCAATCGCTCGTTTTTTCAATCGTTAAAATCCTTAGAATACAGCATAATAACTAATCGACTGGTAAATCACGGAATAAAACCAATCGCCAATAATTAAGCTTTTCTCGTCAGATGTTTATTGGCCGTAAATCTTCAGTATTCGCTTCTCGGAAGATTATCGTAACTCACTGGCAGACCGCGTGTGGAATTCATCGTGATAAACTTTTCCTCGGACATTATCGCTAATTTGCTTGCAGTTCGCATGCAAAACTTCTCTGCGATAGTAGGACTCTTCTTCTGCTCGAAACTTCTTCTGACCTCTTTTTAATTCTCGTTTTCTTCTTTGTTTGTTCTTTCTTTTTTCCCTGCTTCTTCTTTGTTTAAATAGCTACCGATCTGCTTGTAACTGTGCCACATAGCAGTGTCACGCCCATAAATGAATTACAACCTTTAAATTAATTTTACAAGCGGTTCATTCCTCAATGCATGCTTAACAATTTCTAATAACTAGTTCTTATCTCGATCTCACTCCTGTAACATTATCATAATATTAATATTAATTATTATTGCTATATTTTTCACTCCAAGTTTGGTTTGGAGTTATGTTTTCATTGGTGAACGTTCGAAACTTGAACAGCTACGTTCTGCAGTATCTCGAGACTTTGTTTACGTTAGTCTTTAATAATGATATAAAAATTACAATGATAACAACTGCACAAGCAACAACAACAACAGCAGTACAATTTGATTCACTCACACACCGCACACAGATCTCATGGATTTGATTTAAGTGATACAACAACAACAAAATCTGAAAAATCTCCAACAACAACAACAAAATTGTCATCATCATCGGCGTGCTACGACTGTGTATCTAAGACAGATTATTTCAAATATCTCGGTGAGCTGTATTCTGAAAGCTCCATGCTTAGTAAGGATTTGAAGACCAGACTTAAATGTTTATATCCTGCCATTAAGGTTTTTGTCTGTGTGTCTGTATATATATATATATATATATATATATATATATATATATATATATATATATATATATATGTATGTATGTGTGTTTAGACTACCATAAATACAATTATTTATAAAGATCACTGCGTTTTGAATACGCAAGTTGAATAAATAATGCCGAAAACGCAGTGATCTTTATAAATAATTGTATGTGTGTGCGTGTGTGTGTATGTATTTATGTTTGTATTTTTGTATGTTGTAATTTGTATATTCTTTTGTACATTCCTTGAATTGTACACTTTCATACATGCAAAAGAAAAACCTCTCATACCGACATATACACCTACACATTCTCACTCTCTCTCTCTTTCTCTCTCTCTCACACACACACACACACACATACACACACAAACTTTATAGAAGTTAGCCTGGGGCGATGCATCAAAGACACTAAATAGTTTCTTCACTGGCTATCTAACTAGGTACACTAATGATTGTGCCGATAGCAAGAAGAAAGAGGTACAATCATTAATTAGTATCATCCCTATTATTCAGTATTAATTAAAGAGATAAACTTTTTCTTCCGTTTTAAATTTATTATTATTATATATTATTATTCTTTATTATTATATTAGATATTATTATTCCTTATAATATTTCATATTTTTATTATATTCAGTTGTTGGACTGTCTGATTGAATGTCTGAGATTAGACGCGCAATCGTTCGCTGCTTGGAGGAAAGAATATAAGAAAAACATCAGCCAGTCACGGTTTGTTTTAATTAAATTTTATTATAATTATATTTAACTATAATTAATTATGATTAATAATTATGAGTAATTAGTTGTTTTAATTTGTTATTTATTACAATTAAGGAAACAGACATCACTACACACAATACAAAACAGCCCAACAATACGACAGCTCTTTTTTAATCTTAATTGATCAATCATAGCTAATTAATTAGTGATTAGAGATACTAATAATTAATTATAATCAATCAATTACGGTTAATTATAGCGGTTAACAAAACGATACGATACAAAAACAGCTTACTACTGCAGTACATAAGCGAGCATGAGTCGGAGTTGAAATTGAAGAAGAGAGAGCTCAGCCAAACCGTTGACTACTTCCAAATCGCCAACGACGAATTGATGCAGAAAGTCCCTAGAACGGCATCACAATCAACAACGTCAACCACAGCAGCAGCAACTACAGCAGCAGCATCATCGGTATCGTCCGCCAATCAGAAAGAGCTAGAGATAAACGTTCAATTATGCAATGTCTGTTTCTTTCATATTATTTATTAATTTGTTTATTTATTTATTTTTCTTTCGTATATGTATTTATTCATTCATTCCTTTTATTCATTCTTTCTTTCGTTCAATCATCCA